GATAGTGCAGAATTCCCAAAGGAATTTCATATCGCCACCAACACATGTAGTTGACCATGTGCATATTTTACCACACCACCTTCTACTATGTGTCAATAATTACATCGATTCCAACGGATCGCGATACTATGTCCGATTTCCTAACAAAAATCATGGAAAAAATTTGGGCAAATTTTGCGAGTGGAAAACTCTCCATCCGGGGCGAAATCAGGTACACTCTCTGTAGATAGTGTGGGAGAACCTATACATGGTCAACTACAAGAGTTGGTGACGATATGAAAATACTGAGAAAATTCTTGTTGATGTTCTATTCGTATATAAACTCATATAATTAGCGTGAAAACTCCTGAGCACAGCTAAGGAAAGTGAGCATATTTCCGAGCACTTCACACAAAACTTGCCCTGAAAAATACACCGCTCCGTCTCACCTCGGGTATTCGCAAAATCAACGTTGATAAACTCGAGTAATTGGCGTACTGCCTGAGTTTGCCCAGGCGGCTCCTGAAACGGAGAATCTTAGGTTGCGGTTGGTAAGATACAAACTAGGTCCACATGGGTACCACCTGGACTCCTCGCATGACTGTTTGCGGCATTGGTGGAGTCCCACTAGTGTTGAAACGCTCATCAGAGAAAGGGTAACGAGAGACCGGGAGCCAAGAGGAAGGGGGAGGAAGAGGAGGAAGAGGAGGCATTCCTGAGATAATAGGAAAATTGAACCTCAACCGCATCTAAATATTTTCCGAAATGGTACAAATCTGATGCCAACAACAGCAACAACAACATATACAACATATACAACAATAACATACATATACAACAACAACAACATATACAACAGTAACATATACAACAGTAACATATACAACAACAACATATACAACAACAACATATACAACAACAACATATACAACAACAACATATACAACAACAACATATACAACAACAACATATACAACAGTAACATATACAACAACAACATATACAACAACAACATATACAACAACAACATATACAACAGTAACATATACAACAACAACATATACAACAACAACATATACAACAACAACATATACAACGACAACATATACAACAACACATACAACAATAACATATACAGCAACGCCATAAGGCGATTATCTCGTAGAGCCAATGAAAACTTCACAGCGTACTACAGAAGAAAAAGTCAGGACGAGTGTTGAGAGTATACTATATAGTATAGTATACTCTCGAGCTATACTCAGTAGGATCGGGCTATGCTCAGTATAGCCCGATCAATTTCCAATAACAACTGCCGACTATCTGGACGAACCACGACTGCAACCGAAACTCCGCCACTAGCGACGATAATCATCGAGACACATGCTAACACACAACCCCTTCCACAGTGTCGTTCCCATACCGATTAGAAATTCTTGGAGCCACATCAGAATCTACGAATATATGAAGCCTCACTAAGGGTCTGACTATTCTCATTATCAATGCCCTTGCCCATCCCCCTACCGTTGTTGTGGACGCCTTCAAGTGGTCGAGAGGTGACTCCCATGTAAGAGTCACCATGCAGTTGACGCTGAGTAGCAATGGGGTCGTTATCGATCATATTAGAATGATCTCGGTCGGGAAGGCGGCTGAAGGGTTTCAATACAGAAGACTTGTGTGACGCCGTATTGACAATGTTGACGAGACTTTCAAGTTATAGAGAGTAGTGCTGTAGTAACTATAGCCAAGTAAGAGTAGTAGTAGTCCCAATAAGGGATTGAGGGGAATCGTTAACGTAGTTAACTGAAGAACGAGCGAAATTGTTCGTAAAGCATTCAGAAGGGTTCGGCAAATGGGCCCCAACCGAAACTAATTTGAATCTTGTGCGCTCGAACCTAGGATAACCTTGCAGAACTCTCAGGTTGCAGGTTCGATACCCGGCTACTCCATTCATCTATTCTTTTCTGTCCCAGATGGCGTGCGAGAATAGAGTGCGAGCTTTGCCTGCGTTTTGCCTAGTAGGCTAGTCGCAATGTGAGATAACAGAACGTTTTCCGTTACTTTTTGGATCTCCACATCCTCACGTATGTCTCAAGTCAGTGTTGATTGATTGATCGCAAGTTGACCACAAGACTTGTGGCACAAGTGCATCATTGTTTAGTGTTCATTGCTTTTTATGAACCTACTTGATGTGGGTTCTCAATTGAATTCACAACCATTAAACTCTGTGTTCATAACACAACGAATCATTAAGGTGGAACTAAATCGAGTTACTCTGAATAGTCAAGTAAGGTCCTATTATTGATTATCTTACCCGCATTGGGGTCACTGCAGCTGCATGAAACTTTTACTCTAGCCGCTAGAGTAGTTGTTCGCACAGTGCAAATTGCACTAACACATGTCTCAAGCCAGTGGCATAGCGGCCCCGCCTCTCAAATTAGTTGATCGCACTAACACATGTCTCGAGGCAGTGGCATAGCGGCCCCGCCTTCCAGAGAAGCTGATTGCACTTAGTGCATTAGTGCGTTAGTCTAACGCATGTCTCAAGGCAGTGGCATAGCGGCCCCGCCTCCCAGAGAAGTCGATTGCACTTAGTGCATTAGTGTGTTAGTCTAACGCATGTCTCAAGACAGGGGCATAGCGGCCCCGCCGTCGAGAGAAGTTGATTGAGAGTCGCTGGGAGGTCCAACTGAACAACTGATCGAATGCCAAGCTCGATAGCAGCGGCGGTCGGGATAAACATTTTATTACTCCAACGACCATGAGTGCATCATTGTTCAGTGTTCATGGCTTTTTATGAACCTACTTGATGTGGGTTCTCCATTGAATTCACAACTATTAAACTCTGTGTTCATAACACAACGAATCACTCAGGAGAAATAATCGAGTTAGTCTGAATGGCCAAATAATGACCTATTATTGATGATTTTACCCGCATCGGGGTCACTGCAGCTGCATAAAACTTTTGTCATGCTACGGCAGTCCCCTGGGAACCCAGGACGACAGTTACGTACTACAGACGCACGAGACCTGTGGGTTATCAAAGCAGTGACCCTGTAGTTTCCCATCAACCGTCTCGACGTCATAGCAGTTGTTATAATTACGGACGGTCACAGGCGGGCACGAACGGGAATAGCAGATGGTAACGATCTTAGCTGTTGCCACAGCTGTGTTAACCCAACCGTGAAGGGCGACAGCAAAGAAGGCAGCGACAGTCAAACCGATGAAACGCATAGTAACAACTCAGCTGACAAGGAAAAAGATGAGGGCAATCCGGCGAGAAAGTCAAGGTTCATCTGTCTCATCTCCAAGATGTGTTGTGCCACTCGACACTCGTAGCCGAAGTGACGAGAAAAAAAAAGAATACTTCTCAGCTCTTGGCCTGGTTATACCTACGGAGAGATCGGCCGGTTCACGTGTCACACGTGACGTATGCAGGCCAACTCGCACACATCCTTGTGCGCCAGCTTACGCACAAATCACAGCAACCTGATAACGCGATTATCCTTCCCAAATGAGTCAGCGTCGCTGACTCAGCGAGAAGGAAAGCGAGGAAGACAGGACTAGCCGATGAAAGTATCAGAAAATCGTACCGTCTATAGACGTGAAAAGGGTGTACATAGAGAGTTATCCGATAACACCTAAGCTGTTTTCTCGCGACTTTGTACAGCATGGGAAGCCTGCGAACGGCCAAGGGACGTGGGGTCAGTGTTGGAATAAGTGTTCGCTCTCCCCAGCTGAGCGCAAAAGTTCATGTTCACTCCAAGCAAGACAACGCTGGACAGGATGTAGCTGCTTACGACGGCTATGGTCCAGTGGATTTAACATCTTCTAGGAACTTAGTTACTCGTCAACACTGAGTAGTAGGCCCAGAATTTCAGCAGGATCAGTCGACATGTTGGATTCTATCCTTGGCCGAGCCCGCGTGCCTCCTATCCACATCCGTGCCTTAGCTACTCAATCCAGTGGTTCATTAACCTCCTGTGGACTTCGGAAGTTAACCTCCCCCATGGCATGAACAACAGTGTTCGACGTTCTAGCTCTCCTTGAATTAAGAAAGGAGAAAATAGCGCTGCGATCATCAGTGATGATCACAACGCTATTTTCTCTATCGAAGCAAGGCGCGATAGAGTAACGACAAGTTGTCGTTACTGGTTCATCACCACACTGTGCCGAAACTCGTCGACGCAAATCTTCAATATCTCTCAAGCTCTCAGGCTTTTCGCCAGCAGCCAAAGTCAAACTTCCGACGAAGCTCCACCCCGATCCCCACCGATTACCATGATCGGCCTGATGATTTGCAGATGAAGATATGCAATATACGACTGCAATGCTCACCTGATAAGTCTCAGGAACAGACGCTTCATGATCTTGGAACTGTTCATCGTAATTATTTAGCTCTTCATCGTGATTCCAACTCGATGGAGATCTGATGGAAGAGTAGGAAGAGGTCATACTGTGATGGAAATGGCTGTAATCCAAATCAGAGTGCGGTGTCACTTGGCTCAAGGTCGAGTCTTCCCAGTGCTAACTCAAGAGCGTCGTTGTCTAGGGAGTTAACCATTAGGAAATGATAGTGATACTAACTATAATAGAGCTACTATCAACATCATAAACCGATAATCTGTTTAATAATCTCGCAACCGGGGGCACGTGCACAAGCGTTGAGCGCTTAACCTATGCGTGCCAGCGGAGCGATCGATGTCATGTTTGCCGAAAAAGAGATTGCCTGCAATGAAGGGGCCCTTCCGATGGCTTGGTGCAGTAAACCCAAACCGCAAGAGATTCCAAGACTCATTAGAGCAACATCAATCTTCACACAGGAGATAAACTGCAGGTTCGGCTCAATGGTATACAAGTGTGGAAAACGGGTCCCAAATGTCGCGTTCCGAAGTTAGAGCTGAGGAAAGACGACTACAAGACTCGAGATTGTACAAGAGCAAGATTCGGCGCGCGTAGCGCGCCTCAGCTCTCGTAAAGCTTAAAGCATCCCTCTTTTCCTCATTCTTTCCACGTTTTTGGCAAGCTTTCTAGGGGATGGAAGGTTGAGATCTTTTTTCTCCGTTTTTGCCACCGTGGACTCAGAAGGAACAGAATCTTGGACAAGGAGAGCTTGAAAAGCTTGCCCCGGACGGTTCTTGTGAACTGTTTGTGCGATTCGCACAGTGTGCATTGCATGCATTCGAATGCATTCGAACAGCACATAATGTGCTGCACATTGTGCTGTTGATCATAGTAACTATGACATAGTTTCTCAGACAATTGTGTGAAGGCCGGGGATCTGTGTACTGCTACTCTAAGCTGAATGAAAATGGCTGGAAAATGCATGTAAGGATCGTCGATGTTGTCAAGTCGACTAAGGGATCTCAGAGTACCATGGTGGTATCACCACTCGAGGCGTAGCCGTGTTAAGTGGCTCACGCTCCTGAAAAGCGTGAACACTTTTGCTGTGATTTTTGCGTACTCTTCTACTATCTACGAGAGTCTCTTGCGTTGAATACGATGTCCGTACCACAGCCGACCGTGAAAAAAGTTCTACAAGTTCAATCCCGAGAACGTAAACCGACTGCCGGCTCAATTGGGCATCACTTTCGATTTCCGAATCGGGAATTCCGATGATGCCTCCGTGAAGGCTTCACGCGGGCACGGTTCGAGGTGAAGCGAGAATCGACCCGCACTCTACTTGGATTTTCACTTCTAGTGTGCTCTGTCCTTAGAAACAGAAGCATCTGAACCGAGTAAGTGTCCAAAAGTAGCTGGAATTTTCGAACGCTCTCTCACTGAGGAATGATGAGGTACGTTGTCACATTTGCATTGAATGCGAGAAGAATTAATCTCTTGCACACAAGTTCTTACAATTTGTCATGATTCTACGGTCAGATATTCAATGCTTTCCGACCCTATACAGCTTATCATGCAACATACTTCGTGAATGAGCTACTAGATCAGTAGTATTGTGTTTTGGACACAGTACTGATCGCGCGGCGGCTCATAATTGTCTCTGTTTCAACATTGACTACGGTACACTCTAGGCCCTACAGCTGAGCTTCAGCTGTAGGGCCTAGCTTCAGCTGCTGAAGCCTTTCAGACCAATCCGCGTTAAATATTTCGGTTCCATGCTAAGGATTGCTAAAATTCTTCCAGCAATGAGGTCTGATACTACTGTTTCTCACATTCGGCTACTCTTTTGCTGTGTGTTCTCTCCTTTATACCGCCTCTATATCAGATTCATTTCCTCTCTTGCCCATGGACACATGCTACATCTCCGTATTCTGAATACGGTATTCATCTCCGTAGTCATGATCAATGCTATAGTGATGGCCCTGATTGGGGTCCACGTCGAATTTACTTCGTTCAACACATCGTTGGTTGCAACCACAAATCTTCTTATCGGCGTTGCGTGCAGGAATGAATATATGGTCAACTTGCTCTTCACCATAGCCCTTGACAAGTCAGTAGGCCTTCCTCTTCCTACACGTCGAGTCGCGAACTAATAATCGCACTTATCGCAAACTCTACCACCCCACCATTTTATACTTGCTACTAATGAAATACGAGTCCGTCCATCAACCCACGGACGACAAAGATAGTGTCTCACAGCAAGCTTCGACAAGGAGAGCTTGACAAGCTTGGCCCGGACGGTTCTTGTTAGCTGTTCATGCGAATGCATTTCAGCAGCACATTGTGCTGTTCTGTTGATCATAGTTTCTCAGATAAGTGTGTAAAGGCCGGGGATCTGTGTGATACTGCTACCTTAAGCTGAATTAAAATGTCTAGGAAATGCATGTAAGGATCGTCGGTGTTGTCAAGTCGACGAGGGGATCTCAGAATACCACGGTGGTGTCACCACTCGACTCGAATGGCTCGAGGCATAGCCGTGTTAGGTGGCTCACGCTCCTGAAAAGCGTGAACACTTTTGCTGTGATTTTTGCGTACTCTTTCACTATCTACGAGAGTCTCTTGCGTTAAATACGGTGTCCGTACCACAGCTGACCACGGAAAAAGTTTTACAAGTTTAATCCCGAGAATGTAAACCGACCGTTGGCTCAATTGGGCATCACTTTCGATTTCCAGATCGGGAATCCCGATGATGCCCCCGTGGAGGCTTCACGCGAGCACGGTTCGAGGTGAAGCGAGAATCGGCCCGCACTCTACTTGGATTTTCACTTCTCATGTGCTCTGTCTTCAGAAACAGAACCACCTGAACAGAGTGAGTGCTCAAAAGTAGCTGGAAGTTTCGAACGCTCTCTCATTGGGGGATGATGAGGTACGCTATCATATTTGCATTTAATACGAGAAGAATTAATCCCTTGGCACAATTCTTACAATTTGTCGTAATTCTACGGTCAGATATTCAATACTTTTCGACCATATACAGCTTGCGATGCAACATACAGTGTGTTACATACTTCGCGAATGAGCTACTAGATCAATAGTATTGCGTTCTGCACACAGTACTGATCGCGCGGTGGCGCATAATTGTCTCTGTTTCAACATCGACCACGGTACACTCTAGGCTCTACAGCTGAAGCCTTTCAGACCAATCCGTGTGATATGCTTCGGTTCCATGCTAAGGATTGCTGAAATTCTTCCGACAATGAGGTCTGATACTATTGTTTCTCACATTCGGCTACTCTTTTGCTGTGTGTTCTCTCCTTTATACCGCCTCTATATTAGACTCATTTCCTCTCTCGCCCATGGACACATGCTACAT